TCTTCCGTGCTCCTGTGTGGTCTGCCGTGCTCCTTTGGGGTCTGCCGTATTCGTGTGGGGTCTGCCGGGCTCCTGTGTGGTCTGCCGTGTTCCCTTTGTGGTCTGCCGTGCTCCTGTGGAGTCTGCCGTGCTCCTGTGTGGTCTGCCGTGCTCCTTTTTTTCCGCCTGCCGTGCTCCTGCTCATTTTCTGAGGACGTCCCGAGCGAAAACGTCATTTTTAACAGAAAAGGTTGTAAAACACCTCTGTCGGCATCTCATTTTTTCGAGGATGTCTCGAGCGAAACGCTCATTTTTCATCATGACCAAAATTTTTGATATTTTTCAACATCCCGATTTTTTGAGGATGTCTCGAGCGAAACCGTCATTTTTAACATAAAACGACTTAAACGATAGCCTCGAACATCTCGATGTTTCGAGGATGTCTCGAGCGAAATGGCCATTTTGGGGAATCCGTCTGCCGTGCTCCTTTTTTTCCGCCTGCCGTGCTCCTGCTCATTTTCTGAGGACGTCCCGAGCGAAAACGTCATTTTAAACAGGAAAGGTTGTAAAACACCTCTGTCGGCATCTCATTTTTTCGAGGATGTCTCGAGCGAAACGCTCATTTTTCATCATGACAAAAATTTTTGATATTTTTCAGCATCCCGATTTTTTGAAGATGTCTCGAGCGAAACCGTCATTTTTAACATAAAACGTCTTAAACGATAGCCTCGAACATCTCGATTTTTCGAGGATGTCTCGAGCGAAATGGCCATTTTGGGGAATCCGCCAACGAAAAACGCCGTGCGATCCCGCAACCCATAGATATAAAGATATATATTTATTTACTCAAGGATTCAGCCAGAACGTCCCGCTTGCTTCTCGTACCTCGAAGACGCTTCCCGTCATCCGCCAACGAACCGCCGTGCAGCCCCGCAACCCATAGATATAAAGATATATATATATATATATATATATATATATATATACTCAAGGATTCAGCCAGAACGTCCCGCTTGCTTCTCGTACCTCGAAGACGCTTCCCGTCATCCGCCAATGAAAACTCCCGTGCGGCGCAACCCATAGATATAAAGATATATATATATATATTTACTCAAGGATTCAGCCAGAACGTCCCGCTCTCGTACCTCGAAGACGATTTCCCGTGCAGCCAACCCATAGATATAAAGATATATATATATATATATATATACTCAAGGATTCAGCCAGAACGTCCCGCTTGCTTCTCGTACCTCGAAGACGCTTCCCGTCATCCGCCAACGAAAAATCCCGTGCGCGCGGCAACCCATATATTATATATTTACTCAAGGATTCAGCCAGAACGTCCCGCTTGCTTCTCGTACCTATATATTTACTCAAGGATTCAGCCAGAACGTCCCGCTTGCTTCTCGTACCTCGAAGACGCTTCCCGTCATCCCGTGCAGCGCGGCAACCCATATAGTTAAAGAAAAAATATATTTACTCAAGGATTCAGCCAGAACGTCCCGCTTGCTTCTCGTACCTCGAAGACGCTTCCCGTCATCCGCCAGCGAGTTTCCCGGTGCGGCGCGCACCCCTTAGTTAGAGAAAATTGAGCCCCAGAACCAACGGTGCACGCCGGAGGCGCTTCCCGTCATCCGCCAGCGAGTTCCCCGGTGCGGCGCGCACCCCTTAGTTAGTGAAAATTGAGCCCCAGAACCAACGGTGCACGCCGGAGGCGCTTCCCGTCATCCGCCAGCGAGGTGCGGGATGGACTCGGTACCCCTTAGTTAGAGAAAATTAAGCCCCTGAACCAACGGTGCACGCCGGAGGCGCTTCCCGTCATCCGCCACCGTGCCTGTCCCTAGGCATCTGGGGTCTTTCTTGGAGGCAGCTTTGAGGCCTCTTGGGGGCCGTCTTGGGGCTTGCTTTGGGCTTCTTGGGGGCCTCTGGGGACCTCTTGGCGTTCCCTTGGGGGGGTCTTGGGGCCTTGTGTGGGCGTATGGGGGCCCAGGGCTCGGAGTGTCATGGATTTTCCCTGTTCTTTGGCCCCCTCTTGGGCCTGGCTTGGGGTCCTCTGGAGCCGTCTTGGGCGCCTCTTGGGCCATCTTGGGCCTCCCTGGGCCGTCTGGGGACGCTCTTGGAGGCCTGTTGGGCCGTCCTGGGGCGGTCTTGTGGGTCTCTTCGGCCGTCTTGGAGCGTCGGCTAGCAGAGAAGGCGAGAAGGCGAAACTCCTTCAAAAACAATTGAAACATCAAGGATTTGGGCCTCTGGGGGCATGCTTCGCAGGACTGTTGGAGGCTCTTGGGGGCCTCGTGGGCCTTGTTGGGGGCCTTTAGGGGGCCTCTTGGACGCTCCTTGGAGCCTCTGATGGCCACTTCGGCGCGTCTTTGGGGGGAGGGCTCGATTTCTGACGCTCTGGGGCCAGGATCTGCGTGAGGGGTGTCGAAAAGTTGCTAACATGGCCCTCGAGGGAGCGGAAAGTGCACGACCTTTTCGCACGCGCTTCCGTCTGCCATAGAGACGAGACTAAAGTGTACCCGTGCTTGCTATTGCGCTGCGTGCCGCTGGTCGCGCGGCTGTTTAGGGCCGTCTTGGGGCCGTCTTTGGCTGGTCTTGGGGCCCCTCAGGAGCGGTCCTGGGGCCGTCTTGGGTCGTCCTGGGGCCGTCTTGGGCTCCTGAAGCGTCCTGCACGCTTTGAAAATGGAAAAGCACGGGAAGTAAGGAAAATGCACGTTTTCCCCAGGGATTGAAACGATTTTTGTTTGCGCGGGCTCTCTCGGGATTATTTGGAGCGTTTTGGGAGCCTCTTGGGTCGTCTGGGAGCTATTTGGGAGGCCACAGGGTCGTCTCGGAGCGCTCTTCGGCCTGCTGGAAGCGCCCGGGGCCTGCTGGGGCTCGCAGGAGCCCGCAGGGGCCGCCGGGGCGCCAGAACCCCTCGCCCCCACCCCCGCGCCTTTCGCACGCGCGTAATTATGCCTGCAATGTAGTATAGATAACGTTGGGCTCCAGCTTCGCCTCCCGCATCTCGCTGAGCAGCACCAGCGCCCGCTGCCACTGCTCGCTCTTCTCGCACGCGGTGATCCCAGCATTGTGGCTGACTAGTGTAAACCCGTGGAGCACATCCGCAGGTGCCCTGGAACGGGAACGCGGCGGACCGCGTTCCTGTGCCAGGGCACCTGCGGCCTTGCCTTGTCTGCGGAAAAAAAAAAACACACTCTGGTCGGCCCCTGGGAATGGCCCCCCCCAGTATAGAGGACGGCGACGGCCACCGGCGGCGACGGCGGCGGCAGCGGCGACGGCTACCGGCGGCGACGGCAGCGGCGGCGCCGATGACGACGGCAGCGACGTTGGCGGCGGCTGCGGCGGCGGCGGCGGCGGCGGCGGCGGCGGCGGCGGCGGCGGCGGCGACGACGACGACGACGACGACGACGACGACGACGACGACGGCGGCGGCGGCGGCGGCGGCGGCGGCGACGAAGACGAAGACGACGGCGACGACAAGCGACCGCGATGGCGAGGCGGCAGCGACGGCGGCAGCAGCCCCGACGAGGTGAGGGAAGGGGAACGGAACCGGGGGCCGTTCCGCGCGACTGACCTGCGTGTATCTCGGGTCCTGGTGACGGGCTGCCGGGCCTGTCAGCTGGACCGAACTGCGGCTGGGACTGCGCTACTGGGCACGCTGTCCAACGCGCTGACCACCAAATCTGTCCATGCGGGGCCCTTCCCGGAACACCCCCCACCGCCGTCTGGAGTCTGGAGGCTGTCTTGGGCCATCTTGGGGCCCTCTGAGGCCTGAGGCGGTCTGGACGCCATCTTGAGCCATCTTGAGGCCTCACTCCGCCGTGTCGGAGGCATCTTCGACGAACTTGGAGGCATCTTGGACTCGCTTGGGTCGTCTAGGAGGCGCAGGCCCTCCCAGCGGGCCCTCCCAGCAGGCCCCCGGGCGCTGCCACCAGAGCAATGCACCACGTGCTGCTCCCAGTATTGTGAGATAGACGAGTGTGTACCCGTGGACCACTTACAGAATCGAAATACCCGTGCACCACTTATACTGGTATACCCGTGCACCCGTGTACGAGTTTGCTCCTAATATTGTTTCACACGAGCAGCTCACATAATCGTAAAAACAGACAACTGGTGTGGAGCAAATCCGCAGGCGCGCTGGCAGGGGAAAGCGGCGGGGGGCATCTCTGGGCCATCTAGGATCGTCTTGGGCGCCACCTGGGCCGTCTTGCGGCTTTCCCCAAGCTGTCTTGCAGCTCTCTTAGGCCGTCTTGCAGCCTTTCAGGGGTTTCTGGGAGCACCCAGAGGAGCTCGAAATTGCCCCAAGTGGGGCTCGAGAGGGCTCGAGACGACCCCAAGAGGGCCGGCAAACAACTCCCGACGGATGCTAAAAAAAGGGAGTTTGTTGTAGCATCTGTTAGGGGGCCTCTTCGGGCTCTCTGGGAGCGCTCTTTGGGCCGTCTTGGGATGCACCTGGGGCTCTAGTGGGCCATCTCTGGGCCATCTTCGGCCGTTTGGTCAGCTCTTGGGCCGTCTTGGGGCTCTGTTGGGCAGTCTTGTGCCGTGTTGGGGCTCTCTCGAGCCGCCTGGGGATTCTCTTTGGAAGCCTCTTGGGCCAGCTTGGGGCGATCTGAAGGACTGTTGGTCCGTCGTGGAAGTTGTAAGGGGCCAAAAGTAGGCATGCTGGAAAAAGTAGCAAACATGTATAAAAAAACTTGGATGTCTCCTCCTCCGGAGGCCCTGCTAGAAGTGCTTTTGGAACGCTCTTGGGGCCTTTTGGGAGGTATTCTGGCCGCGTGGAGGCCGTCTTGGGCCATCTTGGGGCCCCCTGAGGCCGTATGGACGTCATCTTGGGCAGTCTTGAGGCCTCGTCGGCCGTATTGGAAGCTTCTTCGGCGAACTTGAAGGCCTCTTGGACTCGCTTGGGCCGTCTGGGAAGCACAAGCCCTCCCTGCGGGCTCTTCCGGCGCCCCCCCCTTCCGGCTTTGCCACGATTCGCGAGTGCCACGCGCTGCTCCTGGTATTATAGAATATATGACGTCGGGCTCCACCTTCACCTCCCACATCTCGCTCATCAGCGCAAGCGCCCGCTGCCACTGCTCGCCCTTCTCGCACGCGCTGATCCCAGCGCTGTAGCTGACTAGGGCAGACCTGTGGACTCCGTCCACGACATCAGCTCGACGTGGCCAGTTGAAGGCGCTCTCCACACCCTCCGGGACCTCCTGCTCTCCTGTGTTCCTCAGCTGCTGCTGCTGCTCGGAGGTCCTGCTGCTTCCTCCCCCTCCTCCTCCTCCTCCTCCGCCTCCTCCTCCTCCTCCTCTCTACCTTCTTCTCCTCTTTCGCTGGATTCTCCATGCCCTCGGTCGGCAATCGTCGATCCTACGACGACTCTCCCCAACAGAGAAACATCGAAGGCCCTCGGAGCGTCCAACATTGTTCTTTTGTGCCTTCGATATGCCGGTCGCCTCTCGTCCGCTCCCCCCCTCCTGGAAGCAATTCTGAGGCCACTTAGGGCTTCGTGGGGGCCGTTTGGGGATCTCTTGGGGCGTTTTTGCCTGCGATATGCCTGTCGCCTCTCGTCCGCTCCCCCGCTCCTGGAGGGAATTCTGAAGCCACTGAAGGCTTCGTGGGGGCCTCCCGGGGGGGTCTCAGGGCCCTCTCGGGCCGTCTTGGGTGCCTCTTGGGCCGTCTTGGGGCCGTCTGAGGCCCGCCTCGGCGCCTCTTGGGCTGTCTTGGGCCGTCTTGGGCCGCTCCTGGGGCCGTCTTGGGTGCCTCTTGGGCCGTCTTGGGCGCCTCCTGGGCCGTCCTGGGGCCGTCCTGGGGCGTCTTGGGACCGTCTTGGGGCCCTCCTGGCCCGTCTTGGGGCTCTCTTGGGGTCCTCTTCGGCCGTCTTGGAGCGGTCGGGGGGACTTCTTGGGCCGTCTTGGAGCGTCGGGAAGCCGAAGAGGCGAGGAGGCCGAAAACATCGAAAAACACAATAGAAATCAACGATTTCTGTCGCTCGGGGCCCTCTTGGGAGGCCTCTTGGGAGGCCTCTTCGGGCGTCTTGGACGCCTCTTGGGCCGTCTGGGGCGAATCTCGGGCGTCTTGGGCCCATCTTTAAGCGTGCCGGGGCTCTCCGGGGCCGTCTTGGGGGCTTCTGGGGGCCCTCTCGACATGTCCTGGAGCCTGCCTGGGCGGCCCGGGGCGGCCCGGGGCCAGCCCGGGGCGGTTTCGGTGCATTGGGGCCTGCGCCCTTCTGGCACGCACTGGGCCCTGCAATGTAGTAGAGACTAGTGTGAACCCGTGGAAATCCACGGCCCGCAGGTCCAGGCGTTGGTCCCGAACGCGCACGTGCCAGAAGCGCTGAAAGCGTCAAAAGTAATGCGTTTTTTGCTAATCGCGCGAGGCCTTGGCGCGATTAGCAGAAACACGTAGGTTTTCAGACACAATCAGAGTAAGGGGGCCCGAACGATCTTACAGAGTCCCTGTGCGCGAGAAGTTCGATGTGGGGGGTGGACGCGTGGGGGCGAGAGTTGGGCGTTACGTTGGGGGGCCTCGTTTGAGGGCCACGTTGGGGGGTCTCGTCAGGGGGTCATGATTGGGGGCAACGTTCGCGGCCCTGGCGGGAGCCATGTTTGGGGGCCGCGTGCGGGGTTCGGGGGCACATGTGACGGTCGCGTTTGAGGGTGCGGGGTTCGGGGGCAGATGTGACGGTCACGTTTGAGGGCAATGGTTGGGGGCTGTGTGCAGGTCCTGTGTGTCTTGGGGCCACGTTTGGGGGCGCCTGGGGGCTACGCGTGGGGTTGACGCTCGGGGGCCACGCTTACTGGGGCGGTAGGGGCGACCTTCGGAGGCTTTGTGTGGGGGCCGCCTTTGGGGGTCCCGTTTGGAGGCCACGCGTGGGGCCGACGTGTAAGGGGCCACGTCCAGGGGCGATCCCAGAAAGCAGTCGGGGAGCCCTGGGGGCATTGACCTGGAAGCGTGAAAAGGAATGGGTTTTTGCTAATCGCGCTGGGACTGTGCGCGATCACCCCAAACTCAAGGCATGGTCCACGGGGCCCTCGAGGCACGTTTCTGGGACATTTCGAGGCCGTCGTGGGGCTCTGGCCGGATCGGCTTCGGCTCTCTTGGACGTCTTCGGGGCCGTCTTGGAGCGATGTGGGGGTCCGGGAGCCGTCGGGGAGCGCTCCAGGGGCGTCCTGGGGGCGTCGGGGAGCGGCTCAGAGCTCTGGCAGGTCGAAGCCAGCAGAATCGAGAGAGCAGCGGTGAGGCCCCCGATACAGCCAAGGGTGCGGGTACTGGTATACGTAGGGTCCCCGAACCGGCTGTAGTGGCCTGCGGGCAATCTCGCCGAGGGCCTGGGTAATGGGTAAGAGATCTCGTGGATGTTGGTAAGGATCTCGTGGTTGGCCTCTCGGGAGCCTCTGGGAGACAGTTTGGGGGCTTCTTGGTAGCAGTTAGGGGGCGTCTTGGGGCCTCTTGGGCCCTCTTTTGGGGCCTCTTGGGGGCCTTTTGGGGCGCTTGGCGGCCTCTGGGGGGCCTCTTGGAGCCTCTGTGGGGCGTCCTGGGGCCTCCCGGGGATGTCTTAGGAGCGTCCCGGCGTTTCTTGGGGGCGTCTTGGGGCTTCCTGGGGGCCTCTTGGGGTGGAGGCCTTGATTTTTCGGTTCCGGGTCCCTGTCTTGGGCCTCTCTTGGGGCCTTCTTGGGGCCCTCTTGGGCCGTCTTGGGCGACTCCTGGGCCATCTTGGGGCCCTCTTGGGCCGTCTTGGGGCCATCTTGAAGGCCTATTGGGCCGTCTTGGAACGGTCTTGGGGGCCTCTTGGACGGTCTTGGAGCGTCGGAAGGGCTAAAAAGCGAGAAGGCCAGAAACATATAAAAAACAAAGAAAATCAACGATTTTGGCTTCTGCGGCCCCTCTTGGAGGTACACTTCGAGCGCTCTGGGGGCCTCGTGGAGGCGTCTCGGGCCGTCTTGAAGGCGTCTTGAAGCCATCTTAAGCGTCTCGGATACACTCTTGGACCGTCTTGGGCCGTCTTCGGGACCTCCTGAGGTCTTCTTGGGGCGATCTGGGAATCCTGGATCAGTCCGCGAGCGGTCCGGGGGCCTCCCGGGCCCGTCGGGCAGCGGCCCGGAGGCTTTCCGGGCGGCCCGCGAGCTCTCTGGGCGGCCCGGGGCGCTGCCACTGCGTGTACTTCTCGCGCGCGCTTCGCCTGGAATTGTAGTACAGATGGCGTTGGGCTCCACCTTCACCTCGCGCATCTCGCTGAGCAGTGCCAGCGCCCGCCGCCACTGCTCGCCCTGCTCGCACGCGCTGATCCCAGCGCTGTAGCTGATGCCGTCGGGCTCCTGCTTTGCCTCCCGCATCTCGCTCAGCAGCGCCAGTGCCCATTGCCACTGCTCGCCCTTCTCGCACGCGCTGATCCCAGCATTGCAGCTGACTAGAGTACCCGTGGAGCAAATCCGCAGGTGCCCCAGCAGGGGAACGCGACGGGGCCGACAGGCGGCGACAGCCTATTGGCTGACAGATGTTGTGGATGCTATAGCCGAGGACCCTGGCCGCCCGAAGACGGCCCCAAGAAGGCCCCCCAAAAACACCCGACGGATGCTACAACAGATGGGTGCGTTGTAGCACCCGTTGGGGGGCCTCTTCGGGCTCTCTGGGAGCGCTCTTGGGACCGTCTCGGGATGCACCTGACGCTTTAGTGGGCCATGTTTGGGCCATCTTGGGTCGTCTTGGGCGCCTCGTGGGCTGTCTTGGGGCTCTCTGGGGCCGTCTTGGGCCGTCCTGAGACCCTCTCGAGCCGCCTTGGGGCCGGCTTGGGGCGATCCGGGGGGCTGTTCGGCAGTTGTGGACGCTGCAAGGGCCCGTGACTCGCACATGCTGAAAATCTGCGGTTACAAAACCTGTAGAAAAACCTAAAATGCTTGGAGTGCTCTTGGGGCCTTTTGAAAGGTCTTTCGACCGTCTGGAGGCCGTCTGGGGCTATCTTGGGGCCCTCTGAGCCCTCGTCGGCCGTATTGGAAGCTTCTTCGGCGAACTTGAAGGCCTCTTGGACTCGCTTGGGCCGTCTGGGAAGCGCAAGCCCTCCCTGCGGGCTCTTCCAGCGCCAAACCCCCCTTCCGGCTTTGCCACACGATGTGCGAGTGCCACGCGCTGCTCCCGGTATTGTAGGATAGATGACGTTGGGCTCCAATTTCGCCTCCCGCATCTCGCTGAGCAGCGCCAGCGCCCGTTGCCACTGCTCGCCCTTCTCGCACGCGCTGATCCCAGCGCTGTAGCTGATGACGTTGGGCTCCAGCTTCACCTCCCGCATCTCGCTGAGCAGTGCCAGCGCCCGCTGCCACTGCTCGCCCTGCTCGCACGCGCTGATCCCAGCGCTGTAGCTGACTAGGGCTGACCTGTGGACTTCCGTCCACGGTTGCCACAGTATTGAAGGGGTACCTGCTGTTGTTTGGGGCTCCAGGGTGAGCTGGGTGTTCGTTGGCTTGTCGGCGCCCAGGGTTGCGCTTGCAGCAGCAGCAGCAGCAGCAGCAGCAGCAGCAGCAGCAGCAGCAGCAGCAGCGCGGCTTCCTCGTGCGCAGCAGCACTGGCGATAGCAGCAGTATGGCCGAAGAGGGAAAGGGAGTCTGATAAGGAACAACCATACCCCACACCTCCTGGGACGCGCGCTGTGCGAGAAGAGTCCCTGAAAACGCCTGCGCGTTTGGGGGCTGGCTCCTGAAGCTGTTTGTGGACCCCCTCCCGCGCGGCACATGTCCAAAGAGGTGTGGGGTATGGTTTTTGCTCCATCAGGAGGGCGTCCACGAAGAAGCAATTTTAGTGCACTCTGATGGGAGAGCTTATTGGAGCTGGAACTTTCTCGGCGGTTTCCTGGGAAGCCGCGGGAGCCGCGTCGGGGCCGTTTCGGAGGAATCTGGTGCCGCATTGGGTCCGATGGGGCCGGAAGGGCTCTGGAGTTCCCCCTTTTGGAGGCCAAAGGCTCCATCCCCCTTCTGGGCTCCCCCGGGGGCACTCTGGAGGGTCTCTTGGCTCGTCGTGGGAGCCCTGGAGCGGTCTTTAAAGCTCTCATGGGGGCCACCAGGGCTGCGCTGGGCCCAAGGCGGAGACCTGCGGTGGCGAATGGGGTGTCATGGCGCCACAGAAGCGGGCAGCTGAGAAATCATCCAACAACACTATAAATATCGGTAGTTTGGCGTCCTCGCAATACCCCTGGAGGCTCTCTGGGACGCCTGTGGGGCTGGGTTGGGTCCCTCGGATCGCGCTCGCGTGGGCTTTCTGGGCTCTCCAGAAGCTCTGGGGGCTCTCGGGGCACTCCCCTCAAGAGCGGCCCCCACGGGCGGGCCGTGTGGGGCCGTCTTGGGCGCAGCTCGGACAATCTTAGGGCCGTCTTGGGCCGTTATTGACCGCTCTTGGGGCTGTCTTGGCTGCCTCTGGGGCCGTCGAGGGCGTCTCTGGAGCCGTCGCGGGGCCGCCTCGGGCCGCTTGGGGGCCCTCCTGGGGCTCCTGGGGTGCTCTGGGGGCGTCTTGGGGCGATCGGGAAGGCCTGTATAGCCGTCTTGGACGCGGTGAAGACGAAAAGAGGGAGCATACCAAAAATGTACGTTTTCCGAAAGGGGAATGGGGCAACTTTTGCCTCTTGGGTCCCTCCTGGGGGTCCTCCTGGGCCGCCTTGGGAGCCTCCTGGCCTGCCTTGGAGGCCTCTGGGGCCGACCTGGGGCTCGGCTGGGTCCCTCTTGGTCTGTCCGGGCGCCCTCGTGGGCGTCCCTGAGCCGTCTCGGAGCGGCCCGGGGGCTCGCAGGCCGGCCTGGAGAGCTCGGCGGGCCCTTCAAGACAGAGGACCTTCTGGCACGCAAAGAGCGCTGCATTGCGGAAGAGATGGCGTCGGGCTCCAGCTTCGCCTCCCGCATCTCGCTGAGCAGCGCCAGCGCCCGCTGCCACTGCTCGCCAGTGTTGCAGGCGCTGATCCCAGCATTGCAGCTGACTAGGGCCGACCTGTGGACTCCCGTCCACGAGTGCCACTGGTTAGAGTGCGCTTGCTGCTGCTCATTGCTTCAGGGTGCGCTGTTTGCGTGATGAGTCTGACGGCGTCCAGATCAGTGCTAACAGTACAATGGGGGCTCGGCCACAAGAAACCTCCGCAAGAAACCCAACCCTGAAATCCGCGATTTGTTCCATGAAAACCCAAAATTGTCAATCGAAGATCGTCAAGATCTTATTGGGGGCCCATCGAAACCCAAGAAACCCAGGGCACCCTGGCAGAATCCAACTGGTTTCTTGGCACGCGCCCCCACTGTATCAGCAGCAGCAGATCCAGGGGCGCAGTGGCAACAGCAGCAGCAGCAGCTCCAGCAGCACCGCGGCGCCAGTAGCAACGACGGCAGCTCCAGCAACAACCGCAGCATCCCCTTGTGGCGGAGGAGAGCGAAGACGGGGAGAAGGAGGATGCCCAAGATGATTGGACAAACAACCACAGACTACTCCATTTGGGACACGCTCGGCGCGGGAGGGTCGAAGAAACAGCGTTACAGGGTGTCCGCAGCTGGATCGGACAGCTATTTTCTGCAACATCTCCCGCGCGAGGTGTGTCCCAAGATCTGTGGGGTGCGGTTTCTCCCAATCATCTGGTGGTTTCTCGGAGCCTACTGGAGCCGTGGGGAGGGAACTGCTGGAGGCCTTCCAGAAGCCCGCGGGTGTGGTTTGTCAAAGCCGTCTCGAAGGAGCTGCGGCAAGCTTTCTGGAGCCTCTGGGGAGTATCCCGGAGACCGTCTGGGAGCCTCTGGGGGCGCTTTCGGGGGGGCTTGCTGGCCGTGTGGGGGGGGCGGGATAAGGGGGGGGAGCGCTCCAGCAGGGTTGGCCCTGCTGGGCCTCCATTGGGGCCGTCTTGGGGGACTGTTCGGCCGTCCTGGGAGTACCCGGAGCCGTCTTGAAGGTCTCCGGGGCCATCGTAAGGGCTCTCTTGGGAGCACTCTGGGCGCCCCCCGCCTTCTGGGGTCCTCCTGGAAGCCGTTCGGAGGCCTTTTGGAACTCTGTTCGGCCTCTTGGGGGCCTCTGGGGCTGCCTTGGGCGCCTGGTGGGCTATCTTGGGGCTGTCTCGGGTTCGCTCTCGGGCCGCCTTGGGGCCGCTTTGGGCCGTTCTTCGGGCCCTCTGGGGATTCTTTTGGGCAATCTTGGGCGCCTCCTGGGCCATCTTGGAGCCGTCCTGGGGCGTCTTGGGGCCCTCGGGGGGGCCTGCGGGGCCGTGCAAGCTTGGAGGGTAGCAGGGCAGTCTTTGGCGCTGTGGGAAGGAGAAACGCTCCCCAAAAGGTTGGGACGATCTGTGCTTCTTGGGGCCCTCTTGGGAGCGTTCTTCGAGGCCCCTGGGGGCGTCTTGGAGGACTTTTGGGCTGCCTTGTAGAGGCCTCCGAGATGGGGTCCGAGTAGATGGGGTCGGAGGATCGCGCGGCATCACCGATGCATCGGCGATGCAGCGCCGATGCGTCGGCGATGCATCGGCGACGTCGGCGGTGCTATCGGCGCCGTCTGCGTGGAGAAAAGTGGGCCCCACATCGAGCCGCATCACCGATGCATCGGCGATGCAGCGCGAACCTCCGACCCCATCAGCTCGGACCCCATGTGGGAGGCCAAACATCTTGGAATCCTCTTGGGCGGCCTTGAGGCCCTCCCGAGCGTCTGGAAACCGTCTTGGGGCCGTCTTAGGCCTTCTTGGGGCCCGCCGTAAGCCGTCTCGGGTTAGGGGCCTTCTGGGGGCCCTCGAAGGGCGTCCTGGGGCGTGCCGGGAGCGCGCCTGGGCCGGCCAGCCCTCGAGTTCTGCCTGCACGGAGGAGCCCCGGCGCGCGCGCGCGCCGCCGCGCGGGCCCGGGGCAGGGGCCCTCGAGCCCACGGCGATAGCTCAGGTCCAACCCCCTCTCAGGGGGAGGGGACTTGAGCCAACATGGCTGCGGTCCCTGGGCCGGCCAGCACAACTTTGAGCCACTGGGCCCCCCGCCCTTCCCGCGCGCGGCGCCGCCGTGGCTGCAGTGCAGAGGGCGTGGGGCAGCTCCTGGGGCCCTCTTGGGGCTGTCGCAGGGGCCCTCGGGAGCTCCTGGGAGGCTGTCCTGGGCTTCTCTGGGGCAGTCTTCGGGCCCTCTGGGGCCGTCTTGGGGCACTTGGCGGGGGCTCCCGCACCGTCGGGGGGCGATCTTGGATGGCCCTGGGTTCGTGGCCCGAAGTGGCCCGAAATGGCGAGAACACTGAAACCTCCGAGAACCACAGGAAGATCAATGATTCTGGCCTCGGGGAACCATCGTCGGGGTCGGGCTGGGCCGTCTTTGGAGGCGCCTGGCCCGTCGTCGGGCCGTCCTGGGCTGTCGTGGAGCTCCGTTCGAGCTCTCTTGGGACGTCCTCGCGCCCTCCAGAGCGTCTTGGAGCAGTATTCGGGCTGCCTGACTCAAGATTGGAGCCACCTGGGCGCTCTCGGGAGCCGTCGGAAAGCGGCGGAGCGCTCCGGGTTGTCGGGGGCAGCTGTGGCACTGCTGGCGGGTCTCGCACGCGAAACGACCAGAATGGTAGTGGAGGTGACGTTGGGCTCCAGCTTCGCCTCCCGCATCTCGCTGAGCAGCGCCAGCGCCCGCTGCCACTGCTCGCCCTGCTCGCACGCGCTGATCCCAGCGCTGTAGCTGACTGGGGCTGACCCGTGGACTACCGTCCACGAATGCCAGAGGATTGAGCGTGCGCTCGTTGCTGCTTATTGTTTCAGGGTGCGCTGTTGATGATGATTCTGACGGCGTCTGGAGCAGCGCTAGCAGCAGAAGCAGCAGCAGCAGCAGCAGCAGCAGCAGCAGCATCAGCAGATCCAGCACCATCGGCAGTAGCAGCAGCAACAGCTGCAGCAGCAGCTCCAGCAACAACAGAAGCAACGCAGACCTCCGGGGGCCTCCCAGGGGCCTTGTCGTCCTCGTCCTCCTCGTCCTCGTCCTCGTCCTTGTCGTCGTCGTCGTCGTCGTCGTCGTCGTCGTCGTCGTCGTCGTCGTCGTCGTCGTCGTGGTCGTCGTCGTGGTCGTCGTCGTCGTCGTCGGCGTCGTCGCCGCTGTCGTCGTCGTCGTCGTCGTCGTCGTGGTCGTCGTCGTCGTCGTCGTCGTCGTGGTCGTCGTCGTGGTCGTCGTCGTCGTCGTCATCGTCGTCGTCGTCATCGTCGTCGTCGGCGTCAGCGCCGCTGTCGTCGTCGTCGTCGTCGTCGTCGTCGTCGTCGTCGTCGTCGTCGTCGTCGTCGTCGTCGTCGTCGTCGTCGTGCCGTCGTCGTCGTCCTTATGCTCCTCCTCCCCTCCTTTCGCCCTCCTCCTCCGTCTTATCCCCTTCCTCCGGTCCAGCCTGCTGCTTGTCGTGCCAGCAGTGCCGCGTGCTGTAGCAGGCTGTTCCCAGCGGAGGCTTCGGGGGAGCGGGGGGGGGGCCCTCCGATACCCGGGAGGGGGTCCTCGTGGGGCTCTGTGGGAGCCTCTGGAGAGCCTCTGGGAGCCTCTTGAGAGCTCTCGGGAGCGCCTCTGAAGCCTTCTGGGAGCCTCTGGAGAGCGCCCGTCGGCCTCTTGGGAGCGCCTCCGGAACCTTCTGGGGGCGTCTCGGGGGCGTCTTGGAGCCTTGCTGGCCGTGGACGGGCCCGGAGGGGGGTGAAGCGCTCCGAACTGGACCCTCTTGGGCGTCCCTTGGGGCCCTCTGGAGGGTTCTTGGGCCGTCTTGGGGGCCCCGGGAGCTCGATCGGGGGCCTCTAGAGGCCTCCGGGCAGCATGGGCCCGATTTCGGACGCCCGCGGTGCCGTGGTGGGCGTCTCGGGGCGGGCGGGAGGAGCACCACCGGAAACAAAGTGGAGAATATCTATAGTTTTGCTGCCTCGGGGCCCTCGCGGGGGTACCCTGGAAGCTCCGTGGAAGCTCATGGGGGCCCTCCGAGCCCTTACGTTTTCCCAAGGGAAGTGGACGAGTTTTGCATTTTGTGGCTCTCCTGGAGGAGTCTTGAGAGCCTCTGTCGGGCTCTCCTGGGCCGCCCTGGGGCCCGCCGCAGCGTCTCCGAAGCGCCGGGGGAGTCCATTGGTCCTCAAACCCTCTTCGCACGCATTGGCCCCGGCATTGTAGGAGAGAAGACTAGTGCTGACCCGTGGACTTCGTGCACGACACCTGACCGAGAGCATTATCGGGGGAGCGGCGGAAATCCATCTGAAAGGCTATCAACATGGCGGTCAGCCCTGAGGGGGCAGCTTGGGGCCCTCTTGGGCTCTCGTCGGTGCCGTTTGGGCCGTCTTGGAACCGTCTTCGGCGCCTCATGGGCCGTCTGGGGGGCAATCTTGGACCGTCTTGGGCGGCTCTTGGGGCTGTCGTGGGTGCCTTCTGGGCCGTCTTGGGGCCGTCGTGGGCCGTCGTGGGCCGTTTGGGGCTCACATTGGGCCTTTTTCGGGCCGTGTCTTGGGTGGGGCGTCTCGGAGCGCTCTTGCGCCATCTGGGAGCGTCTCGGAACGCGCCGGGGCCTGCTGGGGCTCGCAGGGGTCGTTAGGGCGCCTACTATGCAAGTTTGGTCCGAATCGTACTTGTCGCACGCGCGGGGCCATGACATGTAGTAGAGATGACGTTGGGCTCCAGCTTCGCTTCCCGCATCTCGCTCAGCAGCGCCAGCGCCCACTGCCACTGCTCGCCCTTCTCGCACGCGCTGACGCCAGCGTTGTAGCTGATGTCGTCGGGCTGAACCTTCACCTCCCACATCTCGCTCAGCAGCGCCAGCGCTGGCTGCCACTGCTCGCCTTTCTCGCACGCGCTGATCCCAGCGTTGTAGCTGACTAAGGCTGACCCGCGGCCTTCCGGCCGCAGAATTTGCCCGCCATGGCGTGGACATGGAAGCGGAGCGTCTTTACGGCCTGGCGGGTAAGGGGAGGTTGGAGGGGACGGCGAGGATGGAGGTGGCCGCTGGAGGGGGAGGTGGGCGAGGGATGTAGGCAAGCAGGCCTGAAAGCAGGAACGCGGTGGTGGAGGCGGTGTCAGTGGAAGCACACCCATGTAGGCGTGACATGGTGTGGGCAGAAGCTGTTTCTGACGCCGCAGTCTGTGTTCATCACAGCTTCTGCGGGGAGGGCAGCCGTGATCATTGTATCTGCTCTTCGCCGACTAGGGCTGACCCGTCGACTAGGTCCTCTTGCGGGGTGAAGGGGTGCTGCCGCAAGGCGATCAGGATGAATGGCGACATGTTCGCCTGCCACACATCGCTGAGCAAGGAGACGGAGGGGCGTCTGGAGGCCCCACCTGGGGCGCTCAAGGGCTCCCTTGGGATCGGGTCGGGCTTTGTCGGTGCGTTGGGTCCGACCTTCTCGGGGCGTTCTGGGGCCATCTGGGGGCCCTCTGAGGGGCCCCAAGATCACCAACACGCCTCCAAGATAGCTCCAAAATGGCCGCCCGCCCACAATCGGCGGGACCGAGTCTGGGTCACCGCGCCGCCGACCCGAAATCCCGCCCGACGCGCCCTGGGCGGCCGCGCGCGCTTCCGGGGTCGGCCGAGGCGATTCTGGGCCACCAGGAGAGCGAAACAGGACATGGCCACAAGAGGCCGCGGAGAGGGCTCCAGACCAGTAAAAAGGGCGAGGAATTTTGATGCCAAATCCAGCAGGGAGCGCCAAACAAGCATCAGAGGCCCATGGTGCGCTGGGAGCCGTTTTGGGACCGTCTTCGGGTCGTCTTAGGCCGTCTTTGGCTGCTCCTGGGGCTGTCTTCGGTGCTTCTTGAGCCATCAGCTTGGGGCCTCTGGAGATCGTTTAGGAGCCTCTCAGCGCTTCTTTTCGGCCTCCTGGAAGCCTCCTGGGGCCCTCTTGGGCTGTCTGAGGTGCCTCTTGGGCCGTGTGGAGGCGGTCCAGGGCCGTCTGAGGGTTGCCTGGGGCCGTCTTGGGCGTCTCTGAAGCAGTCTGGGAACCGTCCGGGGGTCGTCTCAGGCCGTCCTGGGCCACTCTTGAGGCTGTCTTGGGTACCCCGTGGGCCACCAGGGGGCGCCTCAGGAGCCGTCCTAGGGCCATCTTGGGCCTCTGTATGGCCGTCTTGGACTCCATGAAGAGGGCAAGCCCAGGAACTGCCAAAATATGCTTTCCCGGGGGAATGAGACGATTTTTTTGTGCTCGGGCTCTCTTGGGGCTTGTCGTGGATACCACTTGGAGCATTTTGGAAGCCTCTTGGGCCGTCTGGAGGCCATACGGGGCTGTCTGGGGGTTGCCTGGGGTAGCCTTGGGCGTCTCTGGAGCAATCTGGGCACCGTCTGGCGGTCGTCTTGGGCCTCCTGAGCCGTTCTTGAGGCTGTCTTGGGTAATTACCCCGTGGGCCGCCAGGGGCGCCTCAGGAGCCGTCCTACGGCCATCTTGGGACCCTGTGGCCGTCTTGGGCGCTATGAAGAGGGCAAGCCTGGGAGCTGCCAAAATGTACGTTTCCCCACGGGAATGGGACGAGTGTTCGGTGTTCGGGCTCTCTTGGGGCTCGTCGTGGAACCCACTTGGAACGCTTTGGAAGCCTCTCAGGCCGTCTGGAGACCTTGGGCGTCTCTGGAACAATCTGGGCGGGTCGTCTTGGGCTGTCCTGGGCCGCTCTTGAGGCTGTCTTGGTACCCCGTGGGCCGCCAAGGGCGCCTCAGGAGCCGTCCTGGGGTCGTCTTAGGCCGTCTTGGGGCCCTCAGGGGGGCATCTTATATGGCAGTCATGGACGCGTCGGAAAAGAACAGCCCGAGAATACCCCAAACATGTTTTTTTTTTCCGACGGGAGCGGGACGATTTTGACCTCTTAAGGCTCTCCAGGGAGGTCCTCCAGGGCTGTCTCGGGAGCCTTCTGGCCTGCCTTGGAGGCTTCTGGGGCCGTCGAGGCGGCCTCTTGAGCGGCTCGGAGTCGTCTGTGGGCCGTCGGGGCGGCCTCTTGAGCGTCTCGGAGCGTCGTGGAGCCGTCTGGGGGCTCTCCGGGGCTCGCAGGGGCTCCAGGGGCGCCGACTATGTTTTTCCCGTGGCCCGCCTTTCCCGCACGCGCGGCTGCATTGTAATAGAGACTAGGGTGGGCCCGTGGACTCCGTCCACGTCATCATGTGGTAGCAGGGGGAGGGGCGATGTTTTGGGCCTGTATTGTTGTACTGGACGTTTGGAAAACGAACAGCACAGACATTGCGAAGATCTACGTCTCCAGTAGGTTTTGCGATGAATTTTGCTTGTGCGGCCTCTCTCGAGCGTCTTCTCGGAGCCCACTTGGAACGTTTTGGTGCCCTCGTGGGTGCCTCTTGGGGCCGTCTTGGGCGCTGTGGCCGCTCTTGGGGCTGTGTGGACTGCTTCTCATGCTATAATGAGCGCCGCAGGAACTGTATGGGGGGCGTCGGGGGCCGTATGGGTAGCCTCATGGAAGCCTTCTGACACGTCTTGGGGCGATCTTGGGGGCCCGTATTGTCGTCGTGGACGCTTGGGCAACGGAAAACACGGTAACTGCAAGAATTTGCGGGCTCTGATAAGTTTAAAACGTTTTGTGCTTGTGCGGGCTCAGTCGGGCGCCTTCTGGGAACCCACTTTGAACGTTTTGGGGCCCTCGTGGGTGCATCTTGGGGCCGTCTGGGGCCGTCTTGGGCGCCTGTGGGGCCGTCTGGGGGCCGTCTGGAGGCCCGCTTGGGCCATCTGTGGCCGCTCTTGGGGCTGTGTCGACTGCCTCTTGGGCTATAACGAGCGCCGCAGGAGCTGTCTGGGGGCCGTCGGGGGCCGTATGGGTAGCCTCATGGAAGCCTTCTGACACGTCTTAGGGCGATCTTTGGGGCCCGTACTATCGCCGTGGGCGCTTGGAATACGGAAAGCACAGGAGTTGCGAACATGCAAGGTTTCAGTAGGTTTTGGGACGATTCATGTTTGTGTGTGCTCTCTCGGGCGCCTTCTGGGAACCCACTTGGAGCGTGTTGGAGGCCTCGTGGGTGCATCTTGGGGCCGTCTGGGGCCGTCTTGGGCGCCTGTGGGGCCGTCTGGTGACCGTCTGGGGGCCCGCTTGGGCCATCTGTGTGAACTGCTTCTTGGCTGTAATGGGCGCCGCAGGAGCCGTCCTGGGGCCGTCGGGGGCCATCTTGGCAGCCATCTTGGTAGCCGATCTTGGGGGCCCGTATTGTCCTCTTGGGCGTTTTGAAAACGAAAATCACATGAGTTGCAAACAGTTGCGTTTTCCGTAGGTTTTATGATTATTCTTGCATGTGCGGGCTCTCTCGGGCGTCTTTTGGGAGCCCACTTGGAGCGTTTTGGGGGCCTCGTGGTCGCATCTTGGGGCCGTCTGGGGGCCGTCTGGAGGCCCTGTTGGGCCATCTGTGGCCGCGCTTGCGGTTGTTTTGATTGTTTTTTGGGGTGTAGTAGGCGCCTGAGGAGCCGTCCTGGGGCCGTCGGGGGTCGTCTTGGAAGCCTCATGGGGGCCTCCTGAAACGTCTTGGGCCGATCCTGGGGGGCCGTATTATCGTCATGGACGCTTGGACAACGAAAAGCACGGAAGTTGCGTAAATGTAAGTTTTCCATAGGTTTTGGGAAGATCTTTCCCCGCATCCAAAGTGAGGTTCTAGCTTCTGGACACCCCGCGCAGGAACAGGAACGCCCCCTCTCTTCTCACTCACACACTCACATCACCATCGTCATCATCATCACCGCATCATCCCCACTTACACACTCGCACACACATTTCCATTCTCCAACTCACTCACTTACTCACAATTTTTACTCATCATCATCATCAGCAGCAGCATCATCATCATCATCATCATCATCATCACCATTAGCACAACACCATCGTCAAAACAATCTCGTCTGTGAGTGAACTGCGAGGACGTCTCAGGCGGGAACCCCCACCCTATGAGGCCGGCCGCTCACGTTTTAATCCGAAATGGTCATCGGAATCCTGTATCTGTCATCGCTTTGGAGCACATGAGGCCTGAACATGGAGAAAGTATCCGGAGGGAACCTCGTCGATGAGTGACTTGTACAGAAATCTGAAACAGGAACCCCCTGGGCAGCGGCACCAGCGGCGTGCGCAGCACGTCCGGGGCACCTCGGAAAAGGGCAAGTTGAAGCAAAGGCGGCGAGCCGACGACGGCGGCCAAATCAAGTCAAAATGGTGCGCCGGACCCCTCCGATGGTCCGGACGCACAAGTCTTCCGAGCTGGGCTCGGCCGTGTCGACGAAGAACGGGCCCATCCGAGCACGAAGGGGCGACCCTCATTTAAGCTGGCCCCTCTCCGAGCACCACGTAGGCGCCCATGTGCTTCCTGGAGCTCCTCCAGCGTGCACAGGTCGTCGTCCGGCCCCCACAGAAACGCTGGCGCGGAGACGGCCTGCGGCACGGAGGCCCGCCAGAAGGCGGAGCTGGAGCTGGGGGCTTCGGCCGCGATGGCAGGACAAAGGGCGATGAAGAGGAGTAATCCCGCCAACCCTCTGGGCGTGAGAGGTTTAGCGAGTTATTTCTTCCACCCCCCCCCTGTCATTCCCCCCACTCCCCCCCTGTACCCCTACTCCAAGTCGCCTGTTAATCTCCCTACAACTCCGAGAGGGTTTAGATCAGGGGGGTTCCAGTAGGGATTGTAGAAAGGCAGCGTTGTTGTGAATCATCGATACCATCATGCCCTTAACTGCTACTGT